GGTAGCTTCTTACAAAATTAAACATATGCTTACCACAAAATAGAAACAACAAAATTGTTTGACTGAGCACAAGAGGTGATGCATAAACTGTGGTGCATCCATAACACAGAATATTACTCAGCAATAAAAAAGAAGGTATTAATGTGCACCAGTGTTTCAAGAGCATTATGCTGAGTGAAAACAGCCAATCTCATCTGGTCACATGTTGTAAGATTCTATTTATATAGCATTCTCAAAACATCAAAATGATAGAAATGACCAAAACATTAGTAGTTGCCAGGGGTCAGTGGTGACAGAGGTGACTGTAAGAGAGAGTATGAAAGAGGTCTTTGTGGCAATAGAATAATTCTGTATCCCAACTGCTGTATTGGCTACATGTACCTACACATGTGATAAAATGACACAGAAATACACACACACACACACACACACACACACACACACACTGCACCGATGCCAATTTCCTGTTTTTGACAGTGTACTCTAATTAAGTAAAATATAACCAGGGAAAACTGGGTATAGAGTACACAGGCCTGCTCTGTATGATCTTTGCAATTGTTTTTCATTTCTGTAATTAAATAAAAAGTTAAAAAAATAAAAACCTCTACTTGAAGATCCATTAAAAAGGAAAGGAATAAAAATCTGATTTTGAAAAGCTTAATAGCATTTAACTATTTATCTACCCATATGGGTTGGATATCTGCCATAGGGATACAGGTTCAAAATCTCACTCTTCATTCTCTAAAATTTACATGCAATAAAGCATAGATTTTTTTTCACGTGTGTTCAAGAGCAGTTCTGAAAGATGAGCCGTTAGAAACTCACTAAATATGCTGCCCAAAAGAGGGAGGTTTCAAAATGCATTTGCTCTGCTCCCTTCAGAAATATGTAAAATAAGGGAACTCTTATCATTAATGTGAAGAAGCGATAGCTGTGATGGACTTGTTACATTAATAATCAAGTACCACAGTGTCTTCTCCAAGTAGCATCGTCATGGAATAAGTATGCTGCTGTGTCTTTCACAGAGCAAAGGAGAGCCACAAAGAAGTACTATGCCATAGGCTTCCCACAAGAGGGCAGTAGCTAATCGATTTTTAACAAGTGGAATTCAATCAGGGAAAATCTGCCACTAGCAAATGCCAAACTACTTTTTAAATGTATAAGGGCTATTCCCTGGCACTTACACAAGTTGAATTATTTCATCTTTCACAAATATGAAGGTTCTCCTACCACAACACACCTTCAGACAAAAATCTAAAGAAATTATTATATAATCTATAGAAAGATTCTATTATCTTTGAACATAGTTTTGCTTCCAATACCTACTCTGTTTTAACTGCTACATCTTAAAATGATTAGTTTAGAGCAGGCTTTAACAAAGCTATAGCCCACAGGACAAATCTAGCCAACTGCCTGGTTACTTTCATAATTTACGATCTTAGTATGGCTTTTATATTTTTAAATGGTTATATTTAAATGATTTTCTAAGTACTTTTACACTATCCTTGAATTTACCTCTTGACCCTTATAGCCAAAAATACTACCTGACCTCGGGGCACCTGCGTAGCTCAGTTGGTTAAGCATCCAACTTCAGCTCAGGTCATGATCTCACGGTTTGTGGGTTCGAGCCCCCATCAGGTTCTCTGCTGTCAGTTTGGAGTCTGGAGCCTGCTTCAGATTCTGTGTCTCCCTCTCTCTCTGCCCCTTCCCCATTCACTCTCTGTCTCTCTCAAAAATAAACAAACATTTAAAAAAAAACAATACTACCTGGCCTCTCAATGTACAAAAATAAATGAATGCCTCAAAATAGTTGCTGTATATTCCTATACCAAACATTAAGAACATAATAAAAGGTGAAGTATTATCCTAATATCAACATCATACAAATTGAAATCAAATGAGTATATGCCTAAAATAAGACCTATACCTTGAACAGAAGTAAATTCCATGGGTTCTCTAATGCAAAATAAAAAGAAGCTACAATTCCTGTATTGTGTGACACTTGATGTTTATACCCAGGATTTTCTATTACAAACTAATGAGAAGTCTGAAATTTATGTCAATCTCTGTAATGTATCTTGATGTATCTAACCCGTCCTTAAAACCATAACCACCACACTGATCTTAACTATCATCTTTTTTTGTCTGTACTGAGGTTTCTCAAATTTAGTCTATGATGACATTATGGACCTGATAATTCATGTGTAAAGGCTGCTGGGCCTCACTGGAGGACGTTTAAGAGCAACCCAGTGTTTACGAGTACTGCCTCTATAGCTCTAACATCCCAAAATGTCTACAGACTTTGAATATTTGTGAAAAAACCTGTTACCACAGGGAGGAGGGGCAGTATCAAACAGGCTGGGAAGCAATAACCTTCCCACTATTCTATTCTACTTGTCTAATCATTTTACACATCAGTCAGGTAATTTTTTCAATATAAATGAAATCATGACATGCCAGAATCTGAAAACTTTCAATGACTCAATGTACTCAGAAAGGGGCCTCGGGGTACCTGGCTGGCTTAGTTGGTCATGAGTTCAAGCCCAACGCTGGCTTAGTGATTATAAAAAAAAATAAGTAAACTTAAAAACAAAAAGAAAGAAAAAGATCTCATCTCTTTACCTTCCTGGCGCTTCAGCTGCTACTGCCCTGGCCCTTATTCCTCATCTCATGTCACTCACCCCCGTGAGCCTTCATCACACAGCTCTGCACAGCCCATGCCACAATTGGCAATGACTGATTTGCATTTACTCTTTAAATATCTGTCCCCTCTATGAGACTGAGCTTCATGAAGGTAGGGACTATACTCAATTAATACTTGTTGAATAACTGAATGAATGATGGTAAGAAATTCAGGCTCTTTGTTTAAATTCTCTGTTGCAACAACTTTCAAAACAGAAATAGAACATCCGAGAAAAAGTACTAGACTGAATTGTCCTCACAGTTCTTTCACTAGGGATCCCTGGCCAATTGTTTAGTCCATCTTGAAAGACTAGATTTCAGGGCCTGATGCATAGCTCTAAAATCCCATCAATCATTTAATCTCTCCTGGGAGTATCAGAATTATTCCTGAAATGAGGATGGATAGGTGGCCTGCTTCAACTTTATAGTTAAAGAAACTGACATACAAATTCCACTTGACATGCCCACCATGCTAGAACCAAATTATCTGCCTAGGAGCCTAGTACTTACTGTGCCAAATTCCACTGCCTACATATATCCTCTCTTCTTTTTGACCTATACAATCTGAATAGAGAACCTGCTGGTGAAAGGGCTTTAATCTCTTCTTTGTATTAAAACAAACATACTTCCAGAGGGCAAAGGAAGTCTCCAAAGACCATCTACCATGGGCTAAGCATTCTAAGAGAAATTCCTACCTATGATTCCAAATCAAACCGGAGGCCTCCTTAGCCAAACAAGATAAAAGGGGAAATGGGAACATTTTAAGTTAATGGGAAGGGTATTATTTAATGTAAAATCTGCAAACTTCTAAGTCTGTGGAACTTCTAAAATTCAAGTTCTTTGTTACATGATTCAGTAAAACAGGACTATTATGGGAGATCAGAAGACAGTGATGGATTAACAATGGACTATCATTAGCATGAGGGAAAAGGAAGGAAATGAGCAGAAACCTTAAAGATCATCTAGCTCAAGCCTTTAATTACAAGAAAAGCATTATTCTATGAGGTTAAATAATGCCCATAGCAATGAAAAAGGGTTTAGGATAAAAATTTAGGAGCTTCTACATTAAAAACAAAAGACACACAGCAGGACCTGAGTGGCTCAGTCAGTTGAGTGTCTGACTCGATTTTGGCTCAGGTCGTGGTCTCATGGTTCATGGGGTTGAGCCCTGAGTCCCATGTTGGGCTCTGGGCTGACAGCGTGGGGACTGCTTGGAATTCTCTCTCTCCCTCTCTGTGGCCCTCCCCCATGTGCACTCTAAAATAAATAAATAAAGTTAAAAAAAAGACACAAACTGCAGGGAGAAACTGCTTCTGTTTCCTTCAACTGTAAAATTAACTCTTTATTCCACGTAATTAATGGCATGTTTATTATTTTAACATGAAATTTAAATAAGCTCAAATATCCAATTTTCCAAAGAAGAGCAGATCAAAAGCGACCAACTAAAAGCAGGCCTTGTGATTTCAGAGACACGAACTTCCCGTACAAGTGACAGTCACCACTACTGAAAAACTGTACTTGGTAGAGCATCTCAGTATAGAGAACCACTCAGCTTAGTGGCAAACAGTTCAGTATCACAACAGGCTTGAGGTTATTACTGGAGTATCTAACACTTCAACAAGCACCATTCGGACATTTAACACAAATGATTTTTTTCTTTTTTCCTATTAATAGCAGGCTCTGCACTGTCAGCGCAGAACTTGACACAGGGCTTGATCTTATGAACCATGAGATCTTGAGCTGAGCTGAAACCGAGACTCAGAGGCTTAACCGAATGAGCCACCCAGGTGCCCCCAAAAGATGTTTGTAAATAAAGCATTCATTACATAGGGCAGTGCTGTCAAAAGGGCCTTTTCTCAAGGGTGGAAATACTTCGTGTTTGGTTTGGTGGGCACAAGCCATGTGTGGCTCTACTCAGTCCTTAAAATGTGGCTCATTGACTGAGGGACTGAACTTTTAATTTTAATTAATGTAAATGGATTAAATTTCCCCCTACTATTTAAGAATTAAAATTAAATAGTCACATGTGTCTATGGCTCCAGATGGGCCAACACAGATCTAGAGAATTTACACAGAGGAAATCCCTCACCTCTACATGAAGCTAGACAAATGCTGTACTCTGACGTCACTCTAATATGAAATTTCAGAATTTTAAGGCTCTTTAAATGCTTGGGAGAAAAAATTGTGTAATGAAAACTGAAATGACTTTTCTTCAGTAAAACATGCCCGATACATTTTCCAGAGATCCATTAAACTCAGGTTCAATTTGCTAAAATTTAGTGGCATGCCATATACTTCCAAACTGGTTAAGTACTTACATATTGTCTTCCAGACAGATTTTGGGTCCCACCACATTGGCTGCTCCACTTGCCATTTTAAAAGCAAAATGCTTTTCAGGGCAAGCTTTTGAGATTCCACATTTATATCTGGGAGGTTTGGTAGCTTTGGGGAAAAATTTTTTTTAAAAGTGTTAATAGACTCTAGAGTCCATTTGTTTCAGGTCTTAAATCAAAAAGAGCATTATGTAAAAACACAGAGATACACATCTTAAAATACATGCCTTTTTTTACCCTGAGGGTTTAAAAAAAACCTCAAAACACTGAACTTCCTACGAACCAAGCTAATAACAGACATAAACATATCAACTGATCTTGATGAAGGTATATATATTTTATCTAATTATTTTTAAGTTTATTTTTAAAATTCAGGATTGGAGAGGTTTTGAATTGTTATGTTATACTTCTAGTCCATGCATGCACAACACAGTTACCTCTAGGATAGGACCAGTCAAAAGCCTAATACATCACTGAATATCTGTTCACGTTCTAGTTCTAACAAGGAATTCTCCTTTTACAAATTTTCTGCACTTATGCTACTGAACCTAAAAACGTTAATAAAACAAAATATCCATTATGAATACTATTATATACGAAGAATATTGGGCTATTCAAATAGCAGCATCCTTATAACTTTAAAAATTTCTAAACTGATTCTGCTCACGTTGAAATATCTCCATTGTTTGAATGTAAGTGCTCATACACCTTAGATAAAATAGAATAAACCATCTGCAAAATATTGAGATGAAATACTTACAACGCACTGCCGTGTCCAATGCTGACCTTGCTAGAAAAAAAAAGAAAAAGTTATCTTTGCTAGAATAAAACTATTGGCAAGTATCCACATTTTAAACATATTTGGCACTAACAGGCCCATAAAAATGAAAGTGCTTGAATTATTGCTCAGTATACAATAAATAAAACAGAATATCACTCTAGAGGAGAAAGTAAGAAAGTAACTTCAGGCTGTAAAACTCACTATAAACAATTATGCAAAGGAATTATGGAAGGTAGTATTTTACTACTGATAAGACATTTTATTCTTATCTTTACATTTTATTTTTATATCTACTTACAAATTTAAATCCCATTCAGAAAGTTACTCTACAAATTTAACTTTTTAACTTTACTTTTCAACTTTTTGCCAGCTTTCTTGAGACATAATTGACAAGTCATAAAGTAATGAAGTCATATGTCTCAAGTCAATTATGTCTCAAGTCAATTATGTCTCAAGAAAGCTGGCAAAAACTTATATAGCATCATATAAGTTTAGGCATACAACATGTTAATTTGATACATCTATAAATTGCTAAATGATAACCATTATATATTAGCTACCACGTCCATCCCATGACATAGTTACCATTTCTTTTTTGTGGTGAGAATATTTAAGATTTACTCTCTAATCAACATTCAAGTATATGATACGGTATTATTAGCTACGATTGGACAGCTACAGTAGAACGCCAAACTTGTAAATCTTATAACTGGGAGTTCAGACCCTTTGAGCAATGTCTCCCCCTTACCTCCTTCCCAACCCCTGGTAACCCACCTTTTTACTCTGTTAGATTTCACATATACCTGATACCATACACTATTTCAAACTTCTCCTTAAATGACTTTAAACATATACTTGGTGACTATTAGGGTATTTAAAAGTGGCTGCTGCTAGGGGAGCCTGGGTGGCTCAGTTAAGTGTCAGACTTTGGCTCAGGTCATAATCTCATGGTTCGTGGGTTCAAGTCCCACGTCGGGCTCTGTGCTGACAGCTCAGAGCCTGAAGCCTACTTCAGAATCTGTGTCTCCCTCTCTCTGCCCCAATCCTGCTCATGATCTGTCTCTGTCTCTCAAAAATAATAACTGATGAACTGATCTTGGTGGTTAGGCTAGGAAATTGGGGGATGGGAAGAACACAAGATATGTTGGGGGGGAGGTATTTAATTTCTCTAAAATAGAAATGTACTGAGTATAATAAAAAAACAATTAAGGTCAGTTAACAAGACTTTTATAATTTATTGGCTCAAGTAAGCCAGAATCTTGTGATCAAATTTTAACTTTAATGAAGTAGATCTCAATCTGGCCACCTATACTTAGAGCTTTTTAAAAGCACTAGCATCTGATCCCAGCCTAGGGGATTACAGTTCAGATCATCAACAGTATTGTGGGCAGCCATTTCCTGATTTGGCTAATAAGTATGCAGTGTCATAAATATTTGCCAGCTGTCTGACTATAAATAGTCACTTGGTTTTTAGTTCTGTATTATTTTAGATGATTGAGAATTTCCTGTAAGTGCAGAACTCAAAGTGGAAAACAGAAAGTTAAAGCTGAAAAATAATATGCAAATGTTTAAAAAAAGGAAAAATGACCAAGTAAATGAAAGCTCATTAACTCTAAAAAATAAAACACTCAGAATATTACGTGCCCCTGAAGTCATAAAGGCAATGGAATAACATGGGAAAAATCTAATGACGTAATAAAGCAGAAAGCAAACGTTATTTGTATGTATGCAAAATATTCATGGATAAGGACAAAGACTTAACAAAAACAAATAACCGGTTAGTAAATTAGAGTGCAGGCACTACTGAGCTCACTCTTTCAATTTCCTTCATTATATCATAAAAGTAAGGGAAACATCATTCTAGAGGTTAGCCAGTCCGGTGCTCTCGCTTGCGTAAATAAGAAAAGGAAAAGCCCAGAGAATGATTAGCCACCAGTGATTAGCAGCATGAACACTAGACATTCTCAATCTCACTTCTGTACTGAATAAACACATATTCACAGACTCAGGTATTAAGATATTTACAGAAGAACACTATTCAAATCAGGAATTCTGGTATACCTAGCTTCCGGTAACAAGATACAGTAAAGACACTGGAATTAGAACAGGGGTATTGTCACACAACTCACTCACATATGCTGGGCAATCTATCCACCAAGTACATATGCATGCATTACTGATTTAATCATCATCTCTGTTTCAAAAATAGAGAAACTGGGAACCGAGAAGTTTACTGATTTGGTTTGTTCTAAGTCATAATTAATAATTGGCACAACTAGTTTTCAAAGTCATATCTCACTCCAGCACCCAAACTCATATTGCATTGCAAAATGGGAAATGTCTGAGGTCTTCTGATCACATGTATAAAAAACTGCTCATCCTGCTTGGATAAGGAAGCTAGAATAGAGAGCTTTTAGAATGACCCTTCTGATTAAAGAAGGTTCAAGACTGAGACAGAGTCCACAAGGACAAGGAGATTGCTAAAGTAATCTAGGTAAAAAGGGCACCTCTGTAGTCATTACAAAGGTAATGACTGTGGGTTTGAAAACAAGTCGACCAGATCAGAACAACTAAGGAAGCAACACTGATGGGATTTGGCAATGGAACAGATAGAGGGATGACGGAAAGGGAGGAATCAAGTTTACCCCCTGGGCATTTGGCTTTAGAAGCCTTCATTTCTTCATTCATACGAATCAGTGAACAAAAACACCATCTCTGCACTCATATGCTCATCATCTATTAAGGAGGTAAGGGTAGGGGACGGGTGATGAGCTCTGTGTTAGACTCGTAAATTTTACATACTTGGAGAAGATCCAAGTGGGAAAGTCTAAAAGCCAGCTCTAAATGAGATCTGAGATGAAGATATAAACTAGAAAGTTAAAAAGTGATGAGGCCACAGAGAGGTTTTACAGAGGGATGATGAGAAAATCTTTGAGATATCAATAATCAACTGATAGAGAAGAGTGTGGCTGAGGAAAGAGGGGCAGACAGAAAGCCAGGGATGAGACTGTAAAATGGTCAAATTAGTTTGCTTGTAAAACTTAAGAGATTAAAAAAAAAAACAAAACTAAATGTTACTCAACTCAAAAAATGTTACTGGGATAGGATTTTGGGAAAACCAGTTCCTTAATCAGGCTTTTAAATCCATAACATCACTCTATTTTATATTATACAAAGTATTCCATTACTTTGTAGAAGAGCAAGGAGAAAAGACACTAAAGGTTTTTTAAAAACAAATAGGAGAACAGTCCGTTAAGCATCTGACTTTCGTTCAGGTCATGATCTCATGGTTCATGAGTTCAAGCCAAGCCAGAGGCACTTCAGATCCTGGCTCTCCCTCTCTCTCTGCCCTTCCCCTGCTCTCTTTCTCTCTCTCTCAAAAAATAAACAAACTTTAAAACAAACAAAAACTCTTGTGAAAGACTTTTCTTTCCAGACCTGGTGAAAGCTAATTTTTATCTAATATTTATCAAAAGCCTTCTACTAAGCCTGCAATTCTGAGAATTTTAACACTTGGAGGCCAAACTGGTAAAATTTCACAAATAAAACAGGATATTTTCCACATGTAGAGTATGAGCACAGCACACCAGCAAAAATCCCTCCTTTCCTGCAACTTGTGATTATCAAACTACCTTGACAGCTTTAATTTTTTTAATGTTTTTCTTAACATTTATTTTTGAGAGGGGGAGAGAGAGAGAGAGAGGGAGAGAGAGGCAGGCAGAGAGAGGGAGACACAATCCAAACCAGGCTTGAGGCTCTGAGCTATCAGCACAGAGTCCAACGCAGGGCTTAAACTCATGGACTGTGAGATCATGACCTGTGAGATTGGACTCTTAACCGACTGAGCCACCCATGTGCCCCTATATACAACTTAATTTCTTTCACTATATACAACTTTTCACTTTAAGGAACAATAATACATACTTTTGATTTGATTTCTTTGGAGGGGGCAATTTTTTATGTTAAGAAAATAAGCAGCCAGGAATCATTTTATTTATTTAAAAAATTTTCAATGTTTTATTTATTATTGAGAGATAGAGACAGAGCATGAGCATTGGAGTGGCAGAGAGAGGGAGACACACAGAATCTGAAGGAGGCTCCAGGCTCTGAGCTGTCAGCACAGAGCCCAGTGCGGAACTGGAACTCACAAAGCACGAGATCATGACCTGAGCCGAAGTCGGATGCTTAACCAAGTCATCCAGGCACCCAGGAATCATTTTATTTTTACAGTGGAAAAATTATCATGAATTACTCCAGATTTAATTGTATCAAGACAAATGGAGTTTTGTATGGTTTAGATAGAACATATCTTTGTTCAGCTAAATGAGCTGACTGCTAAATCTTTTACATTAACTGAGTTTAGTTTTCACATTACCAGTTCTTTTTATGGCTTACATAATCACTGAACAATTTTTCAAAAGATGGCTGAAAAACAATGGTCTCCAATATCTACGAAATAAGCAAATATCAATTAGAATTACCTTCTTCAAGAAAAAGGTTAATGATTTAATCATTATTATCTACTCTCATCAGATGAGCTGAGAAAATGAATTGACTTGGAAGTTTTGTTTCGGATCTGGTTTCAGTCAATGAATGTCTTTCAACAAGTCAAACTACAGAAATCAGAACTATTTTGTACTTAAGTTTTTAATAACATCAAATAATTTATGTATATACAATGTTTCAGTGGTTTAAATCTCAAAGGGTAAAAAGTAATCAACTCAATAGAATAGTAAGTACTTATAGCAGCAATATGTGCAAAAACAATCCAGGCTGTGTTCAGTACCTGTATTAGCGGTTAAGTACCCAGGCTGACAAGGAACACTGTGTTAACATGCAGTCATAACTAAAACTCACAGATTGTATCCATGTTGCTATTCTGGTTGTGACACTGTGGGTAGTTTTGTAAGATGTTACCAAATGAGAAACTGTGTAAAGGGTAGGCAGGATCCCTCCATATTATTTCTCACAAATGCATGCAAATCTACAATTATCTCAAAAAGTTTTCTAAAAATCTTGTTTTTTAAAAAAATCACAATGTATTTTAATAATTTCAACTACTAATTCTTTTTTTTTTTTTTTCCCACAGATAGTTTATTGTCAAGTTGGTTTCCATATAACACCCGGTGCTCATCCCCACACAAGTGCCCTCCTCCATGCAATTCTAAGCAAAATTTTTCATTTTTCCTTTCTAGAAATAAGCTCATTTTATTTTTCCAAAACAGTACTATATAACCAACCTGAATCTAAATTTATAAAACTATCAAGTAAGCTATTATATCAACAGCAGAAAAAATGAAAAAATTCACCACCAAAAGAAATATAGTTCATCTCACGGAACCTCCCCCGACCCCCAATACACTGGTTATAAAATAATTCTAATGTTGAGTTAAACTTATTACCCTTTGGTAAATTGAGTTAGATGCTAAGCAAATGGCAAAAGACAACCATATCTCCATCTTTACTCAATTATTCTGAAATGAGAATTAAAATATAACAAACAGATTAAATTTTCACCAACTCAATAAACTGGAATCCAATAAGGTTTTGTAGACACAGTGTACAACTTCAGTTACGACAACAAAATAAACCATCCGCCCTAAGAATGAGTAAATCAAATGGCTAAAACACACACAATAAAACCTTGCAGATTCCCAACATTAGGAAAATGTTGACAACTATCCTAGTTAAAGTAGCTCAGCGTTTGTTCATAGCTGACTACCGGTGGCTTTTCAACTCACATAGCTTTAAATGAATCCCACTTTGGAAATACTCTTCTTCTCCACGTAAAAGTATTAATCCTTGGTCACCTACATTCATTTTCATTCATTTTCCATTCAATCAGCATGGACTGTCTACACATACAGCCCAGCACCAGATGCTGGGTGAAGCACCAAGATACTTCCCTCAAGATTCATTCTCTCATAAGGGGAGACAGATACATAAAAAATAGAAGAAATTCTATGATGTAAGGCAGAATAAAATCAGTGCCAAATTGAGATACTAGTACAATGCATTAAAACAAACAGTTCAAAAAAGAAGCAATACATTCTAATAGGAAAAGAGGGAGGTTCAACCATAATTTCTTTCAAGAAGGGGCATTTAGGCAGTTTTAAAAAATGAGAAGGATTAACAGATGAAGGGGGGATAAGAAAGCCATACAGTGTGAGGAACTGGCATGTGCAAGGTGGGGGTGTGGATGGACAGGGCACGTGTCTGTAGACCCTGTGCAGACTGGCACAAGTGAGCGTGAGACATGGGGGAGATGCAGAGGAGCAGCAAGAAAGCGACAAGGGCAGAGGCACAGGTTGGGGGTTTGAGTGGGACTTAGATTTTATTCTCCCGTGGTCGGAAGTACAAAGGTTCATGAGTGTTATTAAGAGAAACAGGCAGATACCTGGGATGAGAAATCGGCATGGAACATCCCTGTGATGCTTAAATAGACAGTCCAGACTGGAGATGAAGACCCAAACTAGCACAAGCGCCGTGGCTTCTCCCAAACCTCTTCTCTCTGAAAACAGGGGGCCTTTCCCCAAAATAGTTTTTTACATGTACCAATGGTCCCACTGCCTTGCTTCTCTCAAGGGTCCTCTTTCTCTTGTTTGTTCACTCTCATCCCATTGACTTGTAATTCCCTGAATCGTTGCCCAAAGCCTATAGACAAGTGAGTCTCTACATGACTTCAAAAAAGAAAAAAAATCACTCACTTTGTTTCTGCCTAAGCTACCATCCCATAACCTTCCTCCCTTACCATCAACCTTTCTTACGTGAACTGTTTCCCCAGCAACGCTGAATGAGTCCTCAGTGCCTACAGTGTTTTTCCGCTCCTTATTCGACTACACCCAGCTGTGCTCTCAAAGGACACCAGGCTGGCCTCTTAGTAGTAACAGAAGTAGACAGGCCAGAAGCAAAGTCAAATGTCACTGTACTTTGCAATGACTACTCCATGCTGGACCCTGGGTGCTTTGCTTTAAAATGGGTGCTGAAAAACAGATGGTTCAGGAGAAAAATAGCCAATGTATTGAGAGGAATGGTTGAAAGGGGGGAAATTCCATAATGAGAGAAGATGAAGACTTATAAAAAGATGGCCTGAAGGAGTGTGATTACAATTTAACTCTTTGAGAGATCATTAGTGTAGAAGTGAACTCCAGCAGATCACAGATCAGAAGACTGAAACAACTTGGGAGTATAAAAGACAGAATTCAGTGTAATACCAGAAGTGCTTTTCAGAAGTTACTGTAAGAAAAGTCACCTGAAAATGTTGACACAGAAACTGATGGTTACACATCAGAATTGTCTAAAGCCTCGATACTCAGTATGTGGTTTGTGGGTACAAACCTCAGCATCACCTGGGAGCCTGGTGGAAATGCAGCCTCTCGGGGCCCATCACAGACACTGAATCTGAACCCACAGACCAAGATTCCATGGAGATTCTTTTGACATTAAAACTGGAGACCGCTGCTGTAAGGAAGTCTTGCAACTAGATGTGGGAGGGAGTCAATGAGGTCTCGGCATCCCTTCCAAATACTAATTTATGGAAAGCCAAGCTCACTCTTCCACAGAGCTCAAAGTTGTTTCATCTGATTCCTGCCGAATGGGTGAAAACACTACTTCTGGGTTTCACAGTCTCCCTTTTCATACATAACTTTTTAAAAAATTTTTAAATGTTTATTTATTTTTAGGAGAAAGAGAGACAGAGCATGAGCAGAGACAGAGAGAGAGAGAGACAGAATTTGAAACAAGCTCCCGGGTCTGAGCTGTCAGCACAGAGCCTGACACAGGGCTCAAACCTGGGAATGAGAAGATCATGACCTGAGCCGAAGTCTGATGCTTAACTTCCTGAGCCACCCAGGTGCCCCTCAAACATAATTTTTTAATACCTAAAACAATGCTTCATCCAGAGCTTATTGTAACATTTCAGTTAACATATTTTGTTAACTTAAGAATTTTGTTGAACACTGAGTTAAGGTGGCTTACAATGGTGTGTTTACAACATAACATTAAATAAATGGGTAAAGAGAAAAATGATGCAGAAGGAATTAAATAAGGATAGGAATGCAAGATGGATTTCAATGGCTGGTATTTAAAATGCATTTTCATGACTCCACTTACTAACTGAGGGCTAGGTTTGGTTACAAGTTTTCTATCAGCTAACTCAAATACTGTGTGATAGCTCCTAGATGTTCACTCAGAATGCCATAATTAATATCCTAGACATGAATGAAACAGACCCCATTAATATATTCAGAATGGTGAACAGAAGATTCATGCTTTATACTGAATTAATTTTAAGGCTTTCTACTGTGTATTTTAGAATATTCTAAGGGATTACTTACTGATATAATTACATCTTATCTGGACATACTAACCCACAGAGTGACTCAATGTTGATAACGGGTAAAAATTTACAGACAACTAGTCAAAAATAAAATTTAAGAAAGGGAAAAATGGAACTTACCAAATAGATTTCCTAAACTTGCATCCATTTTTATTTCAAATACTTGAGAAATAACATAAAATGTCAGTAAAAATACTGCCACGGCCACCACCAACTTTGCAGCACCTAGATAAAGGGCAGAAACAATTCAGCATGCGCTTATGAGAACTTTTAGTAGTGCATTTTCATGAGAAATTTAAGTTCATAAAAAATTTCTTAAAACCAATCAAGTTTCATGTACTGGATCTTAGTTTTACTTGAGTTACAACAAAAACTGTATATACAATCCATTGAGATAAGGCGTTTTCCTAATCAAAGAATTATCAGATTGGCTGGCAACCCAGACACAAGACTGCTTGAGTCATCTGTCTCGTTTTCTCCTGCAAAAATTGAAAGGAAAAAAATAAATCTGCTCTCAAGTGTGGCTGACTATATGAAAGTACAAAAGTATCATGGCTAATGGAACACCATCACCACGTACGCCGGGTGACACATCCCTAATCCTGTTCAAATATAAAGGCAGCACTACACAGGGATAATACAGAAACGCCAGACCTTACGGAGATACAAAAGCAACCAGCAGGATACTCACTAAGAAACCCTCCAGTGAAACATACCAGATTTACTGTCCTACACCAACCAACACATCTCTTAGAGCAACACAAGTGCTCCTGACATGGCCAACAAGAGCATTTCTCCCCATACTGAACACTAGATTTAGACAGGCATGCAATCCTGGAGGACTTCACTTGGCAGCAATCACACATGCTTCACAACGTGGTTCCACGATAGGCTCTATGAAGACACACTCGTAGACTTCCATACCATTTTATCTTTAACTATTTCTGGGTGCCTCACAAATAGTTAGCACAGCCAGGTATTAGCTAACTGTTTAATAGGAACTGAGGATTTGTCTTTCTTCTCCATAGCTAAGTAAATCTAGGAAAGAAAAAAAAAAGTGCAAGGCAGGAAAGGAAATGGAAAATGACAGGAAAGAAGCATCTTCCTCTTTCCCCTAGGATTTCAGAGCCTTCTTGTTAGGCTGTTCAGGAAGAATACTAGTATTTGCCTATATAGTCTGCAGTCCCCTCTCTTACTCCAGGTTTAATTTATATTGACCTAAAGGAGGTAGATGGGATTAGCAGACATCTCTCTATCCTTAAGGAAATGAGGCCCAGAGGTGAGGCAACTCCCAAGATGACAAATGGCAGCAGCACAAGGCCTGGGATCCAGGAGTCCTGGCACACGGCCCAGTGCTTCATACAGCACTCCGTTCTAACACCAGATTACAACAGCCTCCTAACAAACTACCAAAACTCAACTTAGCGTATAAGGAAGAGTGAAAAAGACTTAACATTCATTCTAATTTCCTAAACATAAAGAAACAGAACTGTACCCGTAAAGGGGAGAGATGAGAATGAACCACTGATGCTCGGAAAGGCCAGTGATGCTGAGAAGTGCTGGTTTCACAGAGCTACTCTTTCTATTTAGAAACACTCTATAAATACAGAAATGAGATGGCAGTGAGGAAGCCTCACAGCTAACCTAATCAACCCCCTCACCTGTATCCGACCTTTTCTCCTCCAAAAATTACTTCCTGTTTTCAAGAGCAACTACAAGTTGCCTACGTGTTTAGTTCATAAGACAGAAAAATTCCAATAGGCTTTTAACTCTTGCCCCTAGAGGATCTAGCAGAATTCCTGGATATAGTCAAACTCTCAACAAGTGTTTGCTAAATAGATGAATGGTAAGAGGTGACACATTCCTTCTTGATCACTTAAGACCAAGGGCTTGAAGATTCTATATCACAGGACAGTCTTAATCACTCATTTTCCAGCAATCATAGGCATATGCAACCAGAGATAACCTCTCCCTGTCCCTTATAGCAGATATACAAAACCTTTACTTCTCAAGATTAAAATATTAAAATGAATAAAATATCAAGGTTCTAACATATGAAAGTTATAGACTAAATTCAGTACCAAGTTAAACCTGAGCCTACACTAAACAAGCTATATACATCATATATACCCATAACTACTTATACACACATATACAATACACACACATACTCCCATTTACTGACTGGCTACTATAGACCTAAATGCTTTGTAAGTTTAATCACATTTGCACAGCTTTTCCAGGTAATTATCCTCATTTTACAAATAAGAAATCAAGGTTGAAAATGTTTAGGCAAGTGGCACTAACTAGTCAGTGGCAGAACTGAGTCTTCGACCAAGACCTATTCACGGACACTGGACCCATCAGAGGAACTAGGAGGAAAGAAAAGCTCTAAGACAGAGAAAAGTCAGAGGTGGAGAAGTGAACTAATAATGGAACAAGCAGATGGTCCCACAGAGGAGGAGGCAGGTGAAGACAGGCAGAGCCTGCATAATGGTATAGTTCTAGAACTTCTGTGACAGAGGAGTCTCCTTCAGAGTTGGTCACCAGCCAATTCTGGATGTAAAGGGCCTGATCATACCACCCCACAGTGCCCATCCTTAACTTCCTATGTGATTCTCTCTTCCTTCTAGCCACAAACTGTGCTAATCTGAGGGCGCCCCTGTTTTTCACAAACCAAAAAGCATAAACCTTAGACACCGTTGCCTCACTGTAAGAATAAAGACTATAAGAATATTTCAAAGCAACCAGATTTTTTCAAGTTAGATTAATCACTCTAAAGGCAATAAATTAACAGTTAATCTTCCTTCTTCATTAAAAGCAAACCCTTCAAGACCTATACTAGGAATAGTGCCAACCATAAAATAAGTACTCAATGAATAATTACTTATCAATTAACCTTGATATTAATTGTTAGAATCAGAGAAATGAACTCAATGAAAATTTAATTTGAACTAGAATGAATGTAGAATTATGTGAGAGAAACTTTGCTTTGATTATTTCAATCATTACGTTTAATTAATGTACTTTTAAAATCATGGAGACATGATCATCAATAGTCAGTCCTGCCATATTCAAAGATCATTTAAAAAAAAGACATTATAATATGTTTTTTAAACCATAAACAAGCTCTTAGTTTCTGGCAATATTTTCCTTCACTAGTTGAACAGCTACTCAAAAAAGGATACTCTGTAAGTTCATGACCAAAGGGTCCAGATTTTCAAATTTACAAACGCATTTGTGCACAACCCTGTGATGTTATTTTAATAACCATAATGTTTCATCATCTGCACCCGATTCTACAGAATGATGCTTGAAGCACGAGACTCGTTTGCTCACCCACCTTGACTGAGGCACTTCTATGAGATGCCCCTGTCGAAAATACGGTTTGCTGGTGAGAAGATGACAACTAAGAGGAAGACTCGATTTTGAGAAATTACAAATTATCTTCTATGTTGGAAGAACATAGAAATGTCTATGCAAAATGTGCATTTCTTCTAGAGCCTTGGTCATCCTGAAGGAGGGGTAGGGTGGGTAAACACACTTATTTTCACTATTAAGGCAGGAAATAGTCATCAGCCTCTCCAGTTATTTATGCATCTTTTTACGTTTAAAGACAGCTACCTTCACAGTATGAACGTCAAGTGGCATTTTGCAGTTTCCTCTCTATGCTGCCTAAGAACAGATGTTCTTACGCATAACCTCAATTATGCAGACTGAGCTCGAACTAGCACATAGCCACTTAAGCAAAAATACATGTTACTGAATGGTTCACATATGCAGTTTCCATTTTAAGGACATGCAGAGCAAAGGTTGAAGCATTTAAACTTTACAACTTATTTTTCTCAAAAGGCTAGAACTTAGCAAAAATAAAAATCAGTCTCCCTAGGTTGTCAAAATTGTTCTTTATATGGGCATTTTATATATTAGGCAAATTAAGCATAATGCATAAGAACATAAACATTACAACCATAACTTAAAAAATCTAGCATAAATAATTTCAACAAGTTTGTCCAATTTGTGATTTAGCAACTACATAAAAAAAGTAAAAAGGCAAAATAGTGGTTTGTTATATTTCGGCTTTGCACTCAGACCTCAGACAGAAAAAGACAATTTACCCTTTCCTTAGCCATTTAAATAAACAAGTTACACAAAAAGTAAAAGTATTTCTATTGAATTAAATATCTTACCTGCTACCCTCATGTTTCGTTTCTCAGTCTATGGCACTTCTCATTAAATAACCTCCTAAAATCAAGAGAGAAGGCAAATATCATTAAGTCTAGAATGAGCACTCCTGCCTAAATTGGTTTGACTTGAAGCATACTATATAATAAACTAATTAGACAAAGGTCATGACATTTTGAGGTATTCTACCAACATGGACACTGAATGAAACACCTCTTATCACTGGGCCTGCCTCCTTCCACTGGAACATAAAAGCCCTTGAGAGGAGGGCCTGTGCTTTATGCTTTATCCTGTTCTGTCTCTCGCTCAAGCCCCTTATTATTCTCAGTGATCCCTGCATTTCCACGGAACCTTTGATACTGGGTTCCAAATTCCCAGTGTGTGGGTCAGTATTTTCCTGGCCTGTGGATAAGTAGTTAGCTTAAATAGATTGGTAACAGTAGCTTTTTGTATTATGTGCAAGGTGTTCCAATAACTAACAAGAAAATCAATAATGCTCAATTCACTATTAGTTGAAATGTTACTATTTTCTTCAGAGTGGGCAGATGAAAGGGAGCTCGCACAAGGCAATGGTCCTTGGATGTACCCCTCCCCCTCCCCAGCCTATTTCTTACTAGTGAATGACGTAACCAAAGAGGTTAGGCTGCTTGTCCGGTCATGGAACGAACTATTTGCAGGCACGGGGCCAGGATGCAGGTCTGCAGGCCCCAGCTCTACGGCTCACTCTAGTGTGTGATGCTGCTTCGTGTCTAGGATGATTGAATTCATGTGTCCCTATGACTCGCACTTAGAGCAAAGGCTTTTGTTAGTACCAGGATCCCCTTCCTCTTCATGTTTCCAAGTTTGTAAAAGAATATATTCAGAAGTACAGAATTACAATTTTAAATATTCCAGTAATTACTGTTATTCACAGTATGTGTTACGTGTCAAATAAAGAAACTACTCTTTGATATTATTCTAAGAACAACAAGAAGTAGATGCTGGAGAAAAAATCTTTGTATGGCTACGTATGCTTCCCTCCTACAAAATAACTCAAGATAAGGGAAATCTTAAAAAGAAGATGAAAAAGTAAATGAGTTTGATAGGAGATTCATGTTCAAGTTTAACGTTCATGTTCAAGTCTACTCAAATCTATTGTACAAGAAGGGAATTCAAAAGAAAATTGTTATTAATGAGTCACATTGATAACTGATACATTTATTTTACACTGTATTTTGATACTGATGTTTCAATGCTGATGTCTGATCTATTAATTCACAGATGTTCTGAATAAAAATAGCACACCCCTGAAGGACACAGAAAGGAAATGAGACATCTGGTTTTTTCATTCACTAGTAAGAAATAGGCTAGGATGGGTTTGGGGGGTGAGCAACCAAGGACCACTGCTCTTGTTGGTGTGAGCTCCCTTTCTTCTGCCCAATTTACTCTGAAGAAAATATCAACATTTAAACTAACAGTGAATTGAGCATTATTGATTTCTTTTCCTTGCTAGTTATCTGAAAACACTGCACATAATATGAAAAGCCAATGTTATCAATCTATCTAAGTTAACTACTATCCATAGGCTAAGAAAATACTAAAAGGAAATAAAAGATCCTAAGGTATCCACAAGCCATCCCATAAAAACAAAAAAAAAAAAACTCTTGGCTTTTCAGATGAAATCGCTGACTGGTTTTAAATCATTTGTTGACTTCCAGCAAAATGGAACACTACATTTACAACACAAACACACCTTTCCTCCCAGTAATATTCCAAAATACCTTCACCCTTATCTGAATGCGGCGTAGGAAAATTTCTTTGGAAGCTGGATGATCAGTTGGGCAGACACTTTGCTGTTCTTTTTCACTATTTACATTACCTGCTGAGGAGGCCACACCTGTCCAAGCACAGTTGCCGCCTCACACCTCTGCCCCCTATCTGCACTGCCCAGCAAGCCTGCTGCGAAGCTGACGCAAGTAAGACCACAATAGAAGCGACTACAACTGTCTAGCAGAATTCATGTTTTCCATTAAATTTCTGAGAAAACAAACATTTTATAAAGTCTCTTAAACTGAAATCTCATAAAACCTCAGCCATAACACATTTTAATTAGTTTGCTTAAGAAGCAAATTAATGATGCAAGAATGTAGATCAGCATAAGGAAAAAGTACTGAATATATCTGAAAGCAAATCAGGGAACATGTTTACAATGTGCTAATTCCAAAGCATTCCTAACTTGTCTTCTTAGGATGACATTTAAAAACAAAGAAAATCACTACATATAATCATCTTAGGGAGAAAAAAGCAGAAACTTCGTGGAATAAACCTGGCATAAACCTCAGGCATTGAACCTGACAATCAGTAGGGGTAAAACAGCTTCCAAGAAAATGAGCACAACAGAAAAGGGTAAAAAGTCCTGTGCTAGAATCCACAGCTCTTTAATCCAGAATCAACAGGTGAAATAATTTATAATTTTTTGTATATTCATTAAAAAAGTAGAGATATGGAAATTAGAGCTGTTTGCCCAAATTAGAATACTGGTGGTAGAAAGAGTACTTTTAGGATAGAATAAAAAGAAAACAAAGGCTGATAGTATATTTGCCCCCCAAAGTGTAGTATAAGTCAAAACAACAAGTTTCAATGTTTCAGATAAATGCTCAAACCAATCCGGTTCCTGAGGCGTGAAAGTGCACAACCATGAGAGAGTCCACCACACACAGAGGGTCACCAGGATGCCCCTGGGCGATGAAACGCTAATAGAGTCTGTGACCCACACTGAAGAAGAGAGCCCAAATCAGGATCTCAGGCTGACATACTGAATTTCTTTGACTATCTTGTAATTTAAACATTTCCTTTAACCCAGCTACCTATTTTGGTCTAACATGGTGAAGTTTTATTAAAATCGGCCTGAATCAGCAGGCCTCAACCGAGAATCAATCAACTTCAGGACAACAGATAAAAACACAGGTCAAATGACACTTTCATTCTCTCCTTGAGAAGTAGACTTGAGGTACAAGAGGTCAATGACAAGAACACCATTTGTAGCAACAAAATAAGCCATAATAACAATTATTTACCAGGAGGGGAGGGTCTTGCCAGTTAAAAAAACAAAAAACAAAAAAACTAGGGAATAATGCATTCAGTAGTACTTTATGTACACATTCTTATTTGATGTAATCTTCCCAACAGCCCTTCCCATACAGTGGGTGTTTCAATGGCTTTATAGGTAAGGACAAGGGATATGTGTCAGGTAATATGGGGGGTACATAAGAATCTGATACTACAAACAAATACACTTCCCTCTCATCTCAGCAGTTCTCTGACATACTCTAATATAAGCAACGTGCTGACACAATTCCATACCGATCAATGTGGCCTTTGCAAAGTGCTCTAGGAATTGCTAATCTGTGCTGCCAACTAGCCACTCCAGAGATGTGACACTTTGTCAAAATGATTAAGCACATGTATTAGAACACCCTCTAAGACAGAGAGGATAGAGGAAAATGAAGCATATAAAAACACCCATTGATGTATTCAATATTAACAAACAATCATCTAAGCCAGGAGAAAATACTATAAATCCTATTTCACAAATATAAAGAAACCATCACTCAATTCAATCCAACTTTAACTCAGTGCCAGCCAAATGGCAATTTCAAATGAATCAACTGAGTGAAGTTCAGAAGACTGTAATGTTCATGCAAACTGGGGTTTTTCAAGAGGGCTGAGAGCGGGAAAAAAAGTGCAAGCAGATAGATTTAAACTCATGCAGGCCCTGTAATGGCTAATTTTGTGTGTCCGCTTGACTGGGCCATGGGATACCCAGATATTGGGTTAAACATTATTATGGGAGTGTCTGAGGGTGTTCCTGGATGAGCCTAATGTCTGAGTAAAGCAGTTTACTCCCCACAATATGAACAGTCCTCATCCAACTGGAGGCCTGAATAGGACTAAAAAGGCTGAATAAAGGAGAACTCGCTCCCTATGTCTAGTCTTCCATCTGGAACATCGGTCTTTAAATGTGGACTGGGGCGCCTGGGTGGCTTAGTCGGTTAAGCCTCCAACTTCGGCTCATGTCATTATCTCGCAGCTCAGGAGTTTGAACTCCGTGTTGGGCTCTGTGCTGACAGCTCAGAGCCTGGAGCTGCTTTGGATTCTGTGTCTCCCTCTCTCTCTGCACCTCCCATGCTCATGCTCTGTCTCTGTCTCTCAAAAATCAATAAATATTTTAAAAATGTAAAAAAAAAACAAATCTAGTCTGAAACTTACATAATTGGCTCTCCTGCTTGCCTGGGACTTTTCAGCCTCCATAACCACATGAACCAATTCCTTATGATTTTCTATTGATCCTAGACAGATATCTTCTCTCCTCTCAGTTCTGATTCTCTGAAGAACCCAGGCTAATAACAGACTCCCTCAAGATCAGAATGTAGATTAAAATTTCAGTCCTAGAGCAGCTAAAGAAAACAAGGGAAATGAGGTAACACTGGAAACAAAAGGTCACTGTACCTAAAAGTCATGAGGGTGAGTTATTCCGATGTGGTTTATAAACAGAACTATGGTATTAACAACACTATTTGGGGGGGGGGGGAACCCTTCATTCATATGAAAACAGAGAAAATGTTGGCAAACTTTCTTCTGTAAAAGGGCCAGATGGTAAATATTTTAGGCTTTGTGGACCATACATATGGCCTTCATAGCAACTACCCTGCTCTGCAGTTGTAGCTGGAAAAAAGCCATAGACAATATGTAAACAAATGGGCCCAGTTGTGTTATAATAAAACTTTATTTATGAACACTGAAATTTGAATTGCATTAAGTTTTCATGTCACCAAGTATCATTTTTCTTTTGAATGTTTTCCAATCACTTAAAAATGTAAAAATCTATCTTGGTTTGTGGGCCACATAGACCCATGGGTCACAATTTGACAACTCAAGACAGAAGAATAAAAAATAAAATTTAAATTAAAAACAACTTACAAAACAGATCATGCCTTAATATTCCAACATTTCTCTCAGGGTTACTTACTGAATATCAACCTGCACAAGGCTTCTACCAGTCCTCTTAAAAGAACTGCTATAGAAGTAGGACAGATCAAAGAACCCTAAATTCTGTGTTCTGTACGTGCTAATCACACACTTTCACAATCAGCTGCTCTCCATGGGAAGAAGCATATACTCCATGAGGAACAACGGATTCTCTTCAAAGGAAGGAAAACAAATCCTTCCTTTCCTATAGCCGAGGCAGCCCATCTATAGCAAAGACAGGTATAATCTAGACTTTGAAACGTTTTCCAAAGCAGGTATAAACTGGATAGGGGCGCCTGGGTGGCTCAGTTGGTTAAGCGTCCGGCTTCAGCTCAGGTCATGATCTCATGGTCTGTGGGTTCGAGCCCCATATCGGGCTCTGTGCTGATAGCTCAGCGCCTAAAGCCTGCTTCAGATTCTGTGTCTCCCTCTCTCTCTTCTCTGCTGCTTGTGGTCTGTCTACCAAAAATAAATAAAACATTAAAAAAATTTTTTAAGAAACTGGATAAAAATTAGTCTTATCACAACCCATTTCATTAACTGTAAAATTATGTTGGTGAGGAGAAACTGACACAATTGTTTTCTTTACATAGGCAATTAAAAGTGATTATTTTTGTGATAGGCGTAAAGCAGGGAAGGTTTACTGTGTATCTGTTTGAACAACTATTAAAATTACAAATATTAAGCTTTCAAAAACGTTTACTTTAATCAGAACAGAATAAAACAAAACAGAGCACCTATGTCCACAGCAGCTGCGAGCTGCTCTTGATGGTCCCGCTCACACAGATGCCACCACACACTCAACATTGCCGGGCTGGACACATTTTTGAAATAACAAAAGGAAGAGGGGTGAGAACAAGGCACTCATGTGAAAAAAGTCTGAACATTTAAAAACTAATTATGATATCTGAGCTGTTCTCACTGTTACAAATAGTGTGAATTCAATAGGATTTAGTGTATTAATACTAAATGCTTAATAGAAAGAAATCCAATTATTAACTTCAGAAAGTATTTTAGTACTAGTAGGCCACTCTGATTCTCAATTCTAGAAAAGACATTCATTTAAAAGAATCTACCACTTTATGGGGCGCCAGCGTGGCTCAGGCAGTTGAGCGTTGGACTCTTGGTTTCTGTGCATATCATGATCTCACCGTTCACGAGTTCAAGCCCCACACCAGGCTCTGTGCTAGTAGTGTGGAGCCTGCTTGGGATTCTCTCTCCCTCTCTCTCTCCCTCTCTCTCTCTCCTGCTCTCTCACCCTCTCTCTCAAAATAAATATATAAACTTTAAAAAAATTTAAAGAATCTACCCCTTAAATACACACATTACACACCTTTTAAACTGGGTATAACCTGGTAATAATTAAGGCAGAAAAAAATTTAATGAGTACCTAACAACTAGAAATGTATTCCAGGCTTTTAAAGGGTTAAACTAGTCTTACATTTTGACTAGAAGAAAACAGGAAACAACAACAAAACACAACGCACTGTTTCCTTTGGGAAGGAGGAGAGATCTGCACAGATTCTCTAGTGCCAAGAATAACCAGTTTTCCAAATGATCTCTGAGGAAAACACAAATGTATCTACTCCTTCTGCAAAGGGTCTTTCAGGGGCGCCTGGGTGGCTTAGTCAGTTAAGCGTCCGACTTTCGCTTAGGTCATGATCTCGCAGTTCCTGTGTTCGAGCCCCGCATCGGGCTCTGTGCTGACTGCCAGCTCAGAGCCTGGAGCCTATTTCAGAGTCTGTATCTCCCTCTCTCTCTGACCCTTCCCTGCTCACGCTGTCTGTCTCTCTCCCTCTCTCCTAGAAATAAATAAAAAATATTAAAAAAAAAAAGAAAGAAAGAAAGAAAAGGGGCTTTCAGAAACATGAGACTGCAAGGCAACAGACCAAAAACCTTATTTAAAAACTTTTAAAGGCGCCTGGGTTGCTCAGTTGGTTAAGCATCCGACTTCGGCTCAGGTCATGATCTCACAGTTTGTGGGTTTGAGCCCCATGTCGGGCTCTGTGCTGACAACCAGCTCAGAGACTGGAGCCTGTTTCAGATTCTGTATCTCCCTCTCTCTCGGACCCTTCCCTGTTCATGCTGTCTTTCTCTCTCTCTCAGAAATAAGTAAAACATTTAAAAATTTTTAAACTTTTAAATGGTTCAAGAGAGCCAATGAGTCTTTCAGAATTTTAATTTTCTGTAGAAAACCTTGGGAAGAGAGGAATATACATAATCTATGCCTAAATTTTTTAAGTCACGTAAACTACTGTCAAATGGCTTTTATTTTCTAATGCAGCATCATAGTGAAATGACATTCAAAAGATGATTTGTATCTAATTACGGCTAAGAAACAGAAACAGAATTAAAAGCATATTATGAAAAAGCAAAATGAGCCACAAAGTGTTTTTAACTCCCCTCTAGAATGTTAACTAATGCTTAATGTGAAGCATTCTGAGATTGTTCTGGGGTGAATCTTGCTTCCCTCCCACCCCCCCTTCCCCCCCCCCGCCCCGCTCCAGTCTACCATAGATACCTACACCTTGTTTTTATTTCGTTCTCCCGGCAGGGAATGGAGAGAGCCACACTGGAAAACTTCTCTCTGATCCACAGCAGCTAGATAAAACTCCTTTCTTCCAAGAACGAAATGTGACAAAGTTGAACTATAAAATCAACCTGTCTCTCCACTTAGAAAAGGGAAGATGCCCTGCTAAAATCATGTAAGGGCCCCGCCTACACCGACTTTACCCCAAAGACTCAACGGAGGGGGCGGTAACTGAACTGGACAGCCACACACACTACATCCTGATGACAAAAGTATTGCAACACGGTTCACCTCCACCATAAGGGCTCCACAGCATACAACTCCTCCAACCAGTGTGAATCAGCTAGACCTCAGGTTCCTTCCTCTTCAGCTGTTTGAGGTATCGGGTTTCGGAAATATTTCAGTTGATCAGCAAGCTTTTTAACCATGTTTTCTGTAAATACTTCAGGTGATTAAAGACTAAACGGACACATGTTCTGCTTGCCCTCCCAAATCTAACAGGACTAAGCAAGGTTTTCCTGGCAAAAAGATTTCACTGTCCAAGAGGATACTCGTGAAGGAAGCACCATGGCTACGTGGGGTTGCTCTTCACTGAATTCTCGTTAGTGGAGAAAGATCAGTCCTAACCCACAGGCGTTCTGTCATACGGTCCCCAGTGTGCCACCACGACACTTCCTGAATTGGCAGCCAGAGTGCAGGTTTACTCAGACACAGATTGCTGTGTACCCAGACTGCTGTGATTACTGCCACTCCCTCCTAGAACTAGCCAAGATAGGACACAGGTGGCTGGTGTCTATGCCTATTATCAACTCCTGGCAGCTAAGGACTAAGAGAAAAAGGGTGATTTTAAAAAAAAAAGAGAGAGAAATAGAAATCAAACGATCAAGCCACATGTAATGTCAATGTAACATTAATATCTCAGTGAACTGAGATCCTACAAAATGAGTAGTTACAAAATGGAAATCACTAATGTCTTTGTAGATATTAGAAAGAAAACTGAACTATCAACACACCAATGGCTGGAAATGGTTAGGATGAAAATGATATGAGCCCAAACTAGAGTGCATTACACTCATCTATCCAGCAGCTATCTTACATCTGAAAACAAGTCAGAATAATCTTCAATACAAACAAATGTCAAGTAAGGACGCCTTACATTAAATTCTACTACAAACAAATATTTACATGGTAAAAGGTCTAAAGAAATGCTACATAATTATTTTATTGTACAGCTTCTATGAGTCACAATAATCGTTTATCTTAAAAGGGGTCTGTGGTTCCTCAGATCCTAAGATGATTTTATTGATTCTAAGGTGCACACTACTTCCCTCATTTTAACAGGTAAACTGGGATGAGGCTTACAACCATAGTTTTCTCCCACAGTAGTATACAAAATAATGGTGCACCTTATAAACATCTTAGATTCAATGAAACAGCATTATCTAGTTCTCTCAAGCCCTAACTACAATGTAACCCCCCTGCACGGACACCATAATTATTGGTGGGCTTTTTAAAATGCAAATTCCTGAGCCCAGAATCCCTAGAAGGATTAAAACTCTTGCCAATTTAAGGAGTTCCCCAAGTGGTTCTCACTCTCCCTCTGACCTGAGAACTTGGGATCTACACTACAATGATCTGAACACACAGACAAGTTTGGGGGTGGGGAGCGGGGCAAATCTAGGCCAAAAAAGCCCAAAGGTAAAACTCCTAGAACAAGAATTTCATTCTTTCCTTAACAGTGAATGGAAATCAAGCTGACTCTGGGCCAGGTCTCCTGTGGGGATGAGGAGGGAGAGGCGGGCAGTGAATAAACCCGGACACAATGTGCTGAGGAACAGAGGAGAGAACTCCGGTTTGCAATGGTTACAACAGTATTCGATTCAAAATTCCCTGAATGTGTTGGTGCAGCTTTTCCTCACCTACCAAAGCAGAATTCTGCTTAAAAAGCTCTAATCCAGTGGAAGAAATGAAATGGTGATCAGATTTCTGCCACCGAAAGCGCCAGCAACATGCCAAAAACAGAAAGGAAACTGACATCTAGTTCTCCCGGCTCCTTCAGAGTTCTACAGCTGTGGGCTAAACAGCTGTAATGTGAGGCCCTTTAATCCTCCACTATACCATCCAGGGAAAGAAAGATGGATAGATAGAAACAGATGAGAACAAGGGCAAAAACAAAACTAAATACATTTTAACTGTAAGAAGCTGAACGTATGTAGGGTAAAGAAGTGTCCAGGTCACAGGTTGCAACTACGAAAAAGATTACAGAAAGGCACAAGTTTACATACACTAGAACTACCTTGATCTCCCGCAACTATTTTGCATTGTATCAGATGAGAAGTTACAAGTTCCTATTCTGAATGGATGTTTTAATTCCCCCACATACCTACTGCACTTAACACTGTCTTTAAACAGTCTGCAGAACTGAACTGAACCAGAGCAGACAGAATTCTGTAGGTCAAACCTTCTAGAAGAACTGGAGGAGCAGAGAGGTTCCGCCCTGCAAGGCACGCCATTTCCACCACAAAAGCTGAATGAGGGTTAGCAGCCATTTGCAAAGAACAGGTGGTAAGAGCTTCTAGTGGTAAAACGTCCTGAACCACTTAAGAAATTCATCTTTGTTGACCCTATGTCCTTCAAAATCATATTTAATGACCACTTAACTGCATATAATGAATGGTACCGATAGTATATCTGACATCTGGGGTCCTGTAGACCTTATGACGAAAATCAACGCAGGAACTGACGGGCTGCTATAGCTGTCCATGTACCTTTCTCAATAGCACACAAAAACTCACCAGGGACCATCAATGGTTGAATGGCTAAACAAAATGTGGAATGTAACCATGCATGGAATATCATTCTGCCATAAACCAAATGAAGTAGATGCATGCTATATACAGATGAACCTCTAACACATGATGCTAAGTGAAAGAAGCTAGACAGAAGAGATCATGTCTTGTATGACGCCATTTATATGAAACATTCAGAACAGGTAAATCCACAGGGGCAGAAAGCACACCAGTGGTTGCCAGGGGCTCAAGGGAAGGGGGAATGGGGATAACTGTTTAGTGGATGTGAGGTTTCCTTTTGGAAGGAGGAAAATGTTTTTGAACCAGAGGCCATGACTGAACACCCCTGTGACTATACTATATGTTAGTGAAGTGTACACTTTAAAATGGTAAATTTCATGTTATCTGAATTAAATGTAATTTCCTAAAGAAGGAAATTAGAAGAAACTCACTAGAGCAAAAAATGAAAAAAATCACAAACAGTAGATGAAAAAAATTAGATTAAAAATAAGGGGAATGTAAATCATCTCAGAATAGTTTCAATCGAATGGAATAGGCCAATGAAGAAGAGAATGAAAGAATACAAGTGGGGTAAACAGTGGAAACTTAGAGGAATTGGAACACTTAATTTCCTCCTTGGACAGAAAGTCAGCTGACTGTACTTTAGGAGCTGAATAAAAATCACAAAACCTTTTAAAGTTTAAAGATCTTGGGAATCTTGCTCAATTTCCCCAAGTTAAGAAAATAAAGCACTGCCTGGAATTAAATAATTTGGTCTATGACATTCATGAAGCAACTAAATGCAGAATTTCTGCTTAAAATCCAGATGATGTGATCCCAAGGACAGGAACCTTTCTGGACTAAGTTCAAGACAAATGTTTACTATTGTGCTAAGCTGTTAGCTAGACTGACTTTTGTGAGACCTGGGAAAAATCGGTTGATTCTTGGGTCTTACAGCTTTCAGCTTGAAGAAATGGGTATAAAAATGAAAACAAAAAGAGAGAAAGATTCACTGCCTCAAAGAAAATAGCTTTGTGGAGGGCTGGCTGTCTTATTCATAGTATCTCTGATACCCATAACTGGCACATACCAGGTACTTCAATAGTTTTAAAAGAATACAAAAATCTTTGAATACTGACACTCACCATTTAAATCTAAAATCTGTAGTTAAAAAAAGCTAGGACTCTTCTAAGCCAAAACCGAGACTACTACTTTTTGCCATTCAACAATCTCTTGGCCCGTTGACCCTCTCCCCAATTACCTTTCCTTTTTAATGTATCTTCATTAATTATGAAAGATTAATTACCCATGTGTAAGGTAGCAATCCAAATTCTGTAATTGTAACAAAACATCCATTAAGTCTATTTTGAAAGTCCCTTTAACCCACTGGTGCAGTCTTATTTTGATTCCCTTTTGCAACACAAGTCTCCTAACAATGGGGATTTTGGAGAAACCTGGCCTGTGTCCTTTTTAAAAAGCCTTATTTGTGTTTGACTCTGTGAGGTCCTCAGGTCAAGAATCACTGTATCTTTTTATTTCTCACTGTCAAGAAATGCTAGTCTTTAGTGAGCTGAGAAAACGTTACATGGAATTTGTGGAACAAAGCTTCTAACACCTGCATAAAATTGGAGGTGGGGAGGAATGTAACTTTAGTAATCAGCTAGAGAATTCAAGAGACTGGAAGCCTTTAGAAAGAGGTACATTTAATGATATGATCAAAACCAATGCCAATTCTGCCAATTTCTTGTTGAAGAGCATAAGCTATTAACTTTATTTTCTAACTTATTTGGAGAGCTCTTCGTACTCTGGAGTGCACCATATGAGTATCAGTAATATTTCCAAAAACTTGGAAAATCTAGCAATATACTACTCGCCCTGCAAGGGAGTCAAGGCCCGAGGGGTCCGGCATCTACTCTCATCATCAACCTTTACTTAACCTCTAGAGGAGTTCATATTTTCATCAGCAAAATTAAGAAAAAGGACTTACTTTCTTGCTTGTGACGAATAAATGTACATATGAAAGCATTTAGCACAGTGCCTAGTAAGCAATCTAATATTATCTAGTATCTTGTATCCATATATTGTATCTATATCCTCCTGTCTAAATACAATAAAAACAAAAGGTTCTGTCGATTAGACAGCAGCTCTGTATGATAATGAAACTTAAAAAAGCGGGGGTGGGGGATACGATGATGAGGCACAGCTAGAGATCTCAATCTCAAATGGTCACTTTGTCATTTATATTACTTAGACCTAGGCTCACTCACCGTTGTACACGGTAGAGAATTTGGGGGATAGCAGTCAAAACAATGGGTAAGAAAAAGAAAGAAGGGACAGCACATTCATGAATGACACCGAATATCAAGGAGCTGGATAAATTTTAAAACTGAGAAGTACCTCCAGTTTAGGAGACGCTAAAACTTGACAAGTGAGCCGGCACGGCCCTCCACAGGGTACAAATGCAACATCCAGCTCCACCCTCGCCGCCTTCGAGCACTCGGCCCGGCTTCCCACCGCGAGCCGGAGCCCCCGCGCCAGGTGCAGGCGCCGCCCCGCCCTCCGCGGACCCGGGCCGGGAGACGCCGAGCTGGGGATGCGCGGCCGCGGCGGCGGCCCGAGCCCGGCCGGCCGACCGCGCTCCGGGGGCTCCGGTCCTACCCGCGCGCCCCCCCCCGGCCCCCACTCCGCGGGACACGCCGCGACGACCCGGCGCGCCCTGGGGCCCGCCCCCGGCCGGCGGTGGCGGGGTGAGCGGAGGATGAAGGTGAAGGTGGGTGCCCGGCTTCCCCCAGACGCCCTCCGTCCCTCCCCGCCCTCGGGCCGCGCGGCTCCCTCCGCCTCCTCGTCCACCTCACCGGCCTCCCGCCCGCCTCTCCGCCGCGCGCGCCTGCCTTCCGGCTTCTCAGCTGTCAGTCCTGCCGGAGGCCGCCGGGACCCAACGCCGCCGCCTCCCGCTCCCGGGCTCCTCCGGCTTCCCCTCACCCCCGCGAGTGGCCAGGAGGAAGCCAGCTCGCCGCTGGGCCTTCTCCCCGCTTCGCCGCCGCGACCAATGGGCCCCCGCCGCCGGGAAGCCGCGCACGCCCCCTGGCGGTGGAGGACCGAGCGGGCGCCCGGCCGGCCGGTGGGAAGGGCCGGTGAGCGGAGGGAGGGGTTGGCCCGCAGTCCAGAGGTCCCCGGCGCCGCGCTGCGCCCTCTGGGCTTGCCACGTGGGTGCAGCGGTGGCGGCGGGGGGCGGAGGCTAGCCCCCGGGGGTGGGAAAGATGTGTCACGCCCTCTTTGCTCTCATTCACACGCTTCGGCTCGTGTGAGGGTCTTTATCAACCTAGGATATTAGGCAATTACCCAAGCCAGCCAACCTATCGTGGAAATACTACCTGCCTGGAGCGCTGGAACGCCGATAACCGTAAACGTTTGGCCCAAGGGAAAAAAGGTAGCGCGTGTATTTTGCGCGTCATTTTTGTTTAATTTGCTTAGTAACACAGGGATAGAATTGCTTTTCTCCTCTACACACATTTTTTTCTTCCTGCAGTAAAGTTGATAACTGGGAAATCAGTCTGAACCCCATTATACAAAGCCTGACCTGACAACACAAAATTGTTTCATAGTGCATATTCACATTCGAGAACAATTAATAACTATTAAATGTTAAGTAGAAAATCAAGACAATGCATCGTTGTACTGAAAGTCAGGACAATGCAATGAAGCAATAACAGGGTTTGACCATAGTTTTCTACCAAGTCTTAGCTTTTCTCCAAAAGTATAAAACACAGAACCTAAATAATAGCTATGCCTTCTGCAGTTTGTAGTTCATCATAGGGGGAGGAGGCAAGAAATGCATTCTGAGAGCCTTCTTTGTGCCCAGTACTTTGCTGGGCCTTTGGCTATATCTTCTCATTTAATGCCCACAACTCAGCCGACATAGATATTATTTGCGTATTATTTCTAACAAATCAAAAAAATCAAGACTCCACAACTGAGTTTAAATGACTTGCAGAAAAATATAATGTAGTAAGCTGTGAAGTTGGAATTCGAGTCTGGGTCCATCTAGCTCCCAACAAATGAGGCACTTTGTTTCTTATGGTACCTAAAACCACAATATTTAGTGTGCCTGTGTTTCCCCTAGTTCTCCGTGTCCCACTGAAATAATGTATGAAGCCTCTCAAATAGGGTGTTTAGGCCACATTTGTGAAAGGGCTTTCTTGACCCATAGCTGAACTGGCCTGTATAGAAAGGACATATGTCATATTCTTATAATACCACCCTTGAAACAATTCGTGGTCTGAAAATGTGTTTAAAATGCTATTTGCCAATGGCCATAATATATAGGTTAGAATGCGTCAGTAGGTAATGAAATTAATAATAGTGGGTCACAACCTGTGGGGGATAGGCTTAGGAATCCCTCGGGCTTATACCAGTGGGTTAACAAGGCATTGAGAAATAGAAAGCCATGGTATGCTCATATCTGAGTTTGGGTAAACATGATTGGCACCCTGAGAATAGGATGGTGCAAAGGCACCTCAAGAAGAGGGGGGTCCTGAACCCCAAATGTAGAGAGGGATGGGCAAAGGCCCAAGATAGGAACGGGCGCAAAGGCTCCCAATACAAAGGTATATGAGGTAAGCAAGATTAGGCATGCAGGGCAAAAGTGTCCCCAATTTAGTATTATAGCAGAGAAGCTGCTTCACAGGAGAATTGGGCCAAGTTAGGCAAAACAAGTAAACTGGACTACAGATCACTGTGCTTCAGGGGACGCAGAGTGGAGATGGTTAACCAAAAATAAGTGTCTTGTTAACCCTGAGGCTGTTTCCCCTATCTGTCTTCTCCCCTAGGCTAGCTAAGATAAACAGCCAGGGCACCTCCTATCTGCCATTAACAACCATCTGCCAACTGCCTGGGGCCTGAATTTTGTTTTTTATTGACCCAAACCCCAAACACTGTGTATCTTCAAAAATCCCCCTTTCCCTCATGCCCATAAATTTATGTTTCAGTTTCTTTGTCTCTTCGTACACGCCCATCACGTTTGTAAGCCTTCTGATCTTAATAAATACTGGGCAAGGACCCTTATTCAGGGCTCTTGTCTTTTCCCGGACATTAGCCATTTCTCTCTCCTATTTTTTAATCCTGTGACCTGCTCTCTTGCTAAGACAAGAGAGAACTTTAGACCCTGAGTTTACGATAACAACCAACATTTTGTTGTTGTCAAATCGCTTAAATAGGACAAAAACTTCAGTGCTCATAGCACAACGTGAGGATAAGTATTGTTTCATGAAATATTTGTACAGTATTATGTGTGGATGAGTGTCTGGGTTACAATGTAAATTATACGTCTTCATATGGACTACAATGTTTAAAAGTTGGTAAGTCACTTCTTTACAACACCTTTTAAGGAATCAGTTGTTCCACCTACTTTTTGTGGCAAGAGGTGGGGGAGGCAGAGAAAGTAATCAAGATTAGTGATTTAAGTTTAATGCGACTACAGAGTACTGGGAACTTTGCAGTTCCGGGAGGTTTAATCCAAACAGGTGTTACATGATAATAAGCATTAATAATTCGTATCTTTGAAACCAATATTTATTACATATTTACTGTGTGCCAGGCTCTTTGCTAAGGAATTTAGCTGTATTGACTCATATAATCTTCACAACAGTCCTATAAATACAGAGGAGAAAAGTGTAAGACTGCAAGGGAAAATTGCCCAAGATGCTACTGCTTTTACCTGGCAGAGCCAAGATTGAAACCCACATGCTCAACCTGAAAGTCAACCCCACCTTTCATATACTTGAGAAGAAAAGTTAACGTGCTCTTCAATGGGTGCCGAATTTTATATAGAATTCTAACATACTACACTATTTCCCATATAAGGATTGTACAATATTGTTAAATATAAAACTTGATGAAAAGCCACAGAATTTTAATTGGACCCATCCTGAAGCAGAATATTCCGTTTGGCATCAGTTTCTTGTATATGCACTCGTAGATTGCCTGCGAGAATGTTCTGCAATGATTCCACCCAACCTTGCAAATTCATGCCACTTTTACCTCCAAGGGAGAGAGCCTGTATCCCCTCCTCTTGAACCTAGGCTGGCCCTGGGATTTTTTTTTTTTTTTTTTTTTTTTTATCCATAGAATGCCCTGGAATGATGCCCTGTGCCTTCTGAGCTTTGAACCTTCCATTTTCACAGCCTTGGGATCCAATTACCATATAAAGAAATTCAGATCAGGCTACTGGATAAGGAGAAACCATACTGAGAGAAACTAAGATCTAGTTAGGCACAAACCATCCCAGCCACCCTACCTGAGGACCCAGATGTACACGTGAAACCATCTTACAAGTTCTAGCCCCAGCTAAGCTCCTAGCTGAATGTACCACATAAGTGGCCCCAGACAGTACCACCTGGCCACCTGGGAACCTCCTAGTTAAGACCAGCCAGTCCCATTGACTCTTGAGAAATCACTGTATGTTGTGTTTCTAAGTTGCTAAATTTTGTGCTGGATTTTTTTTTTTTTTTTTTTTTTTAACATACCAACAGATAACTGAAACATGGAAGGAAAGGGAAAAAAGTTGGCCGGCTCTGGGAGTAGCGTTACTTTAAAATATTAAAACATGTTTATATTGGATTGTAAAGTCAATCCTGTAGAGATATGGCCAGAAACTTGCCTAGCTTCTTAAAAATATCTGGGAAAAAAAGCAGAAGTGGAATAATAAAAACAAGAGTAAAAGTGTCAAATGTGATACCTACACTGGGTAAAATACCGCCCTCAGGTGTGGTTTAAAAACTATTGCTCAGAACGGTCTCAAAAACGTGCATTTGAAACTCTCAGACCTCATCCAGCCTGTTCGTACAAGTCTCAGGACACTAGCGTTTCTCCTTTCATCCCACCAACTCCTTTCCTGCCAAGCCAGGCCACTCAGCACTTGAGCCAAATTGAGTCCTAGGTATCTACATAGACTCCAAATTGCCTGACTTCTCTTTTTCACCGCCTGTGTTGGCTCAGTGAGCTGGCTGGACCTTTGCTAAATGCCTCACCCTATTTCCCCCCTCCTTTCCTCTCACTCTGTGTGTTTTTGCCAGAGATTGACTCCATCCCAGGTCCCTGTTCCCAGGCCTGTCCCCACTCTTGCTGCCTTTTATGTTGGAGCTCTAACATTTCTCTTAACTTTACCCAAGTTGTTGCAGGAATGGATCCCGAGGAACGACCTGGTGATGACTCAGTTCAGTACCTGAACTCAAACTCAATTCTGCAATAAAGGCTTTCTTCTGAGTATCCTCGAGACTACCATATAATCACTTGTTGCATCTTAACTAGCAGACTACACAAGGATACTGTGTGCAGGGGTACATCGGTGAAAGAGAAGGCTAAGAGTTATGGTGAAGGACTAGGTCTTTGGAGGAAAAAATCCTTCTCATTTCCCTCTGTCCTAGCATCCCCAAATCAGCTCTGGAACCAGTTGAGGGTTCTCAGCTTGGGGGTCACCATGACCCATTTTAACATGCTCTTTTCTTGATTCAGCTACAAATATAACCTTCTGTTTGTTAATAGTTACATTTTTCTATTTTCTAGGAACCTATAAGGGCAAAATAGTATAGTTTTTAAAAAGCTGGAATACCCACAGATTTCATAGCACAGTTGATACATTTACCACTTTTAACACACATTTTAACACACCATTTTCACCATTTTTAAATGTACAGTCCAGGGGTATCAAGTGCATCCACACTGTTGTACAACCAACACTACCGTCCATCTCCAGAATTCTTTTCATCTTGAAAAACTTAAGCTCTGTATTTATTGAACAATAAATCCCAATTCTATGGTCCCTTCAGTCCATGGCAACTACTATTCTAGTTTTTCTTTCTATGAGTTTGACTTTGTCTGTCTCATATGAGCGAAACAGTATAGTTAAAAAGCTGAAACACTCATAGACTTCATGACACCATGTTTGATACATAAGCAACACAGTGTATACAAAATATGAGTGTTTTTTTATTAT